GCCTCTGCTTGTATACTGTGTGTCTTTGGGAATAAATACCCCTTGCCTATAAGGTATCACACTATTTGGCCTCCTTTGTTCTTTGGGCTCCGGTGGGAGCCCTTTACATCTGCAGAGCGGCCTTTTTTCTTCTATGTGTGGCAAACACCATCAAGTGGCGAGGGGCTTTTGTGACCAGATCTGACCAGATCCATATGAGGACCCTAGGATTATCTGCTTTGAATGCGCATTTGGATTGCGTATCTGGTGAGTGCGCAATCTTTATACCTTTATCACCTCATCCACGAATCCAGGCATTGGAGCTTTTTGAAGACTCTCTTGGGTTTTGAACACGTTATGGACTATACTTATTTTAGTCACCGTTTTGCACTTTAACAGCACCTTAACATTGGTTTATATAATTATATAAGTGTATATTTATCAAGTTAGCGCTGCACCTCTCCCTTTTATGTACCCTTGAAATTGTTTGTTTCTGCTAAAAAAAAAATGAGTTGAGCAAAAAAATATTTTCCAAATGCTGTAATTATAAATATAGAAAAGGAGCTCCACAAACGTCATTTATTGCTGTTTAATAGCAGACGACAAATTAAACATTCTGTGATTTTACAAGCTGTATATCGTAATAATTCAGTATAGCTTTAGCTAAGACAGCAGCAAAGTTGGGGCGCTCAGCACTTTCCCGAATCCACCTTGGAAGCTCAATTTGAATGGCATCAACTTCGCCAGATATTTTAGACCCATGGGTGGCAACAATGTAACCTCCGGAAAAGTAGTTGCCACCATTGGGCCCGGGATTTGACGGTGAGGGGACACTAACATAACTAGCATTTTGCTCTTCGATGAGTTTTCCCAAACTGTCGTTGCCACGAAGCAAACTATTGAAAGTAGTGTCCGGGCGTCTTCTGGACAATGCATATATGGAGGTGTCAGCAGCTTTGAAATTTCCAGAATCCAAGTTAGTTTTGGAAATGAGATATCCAAGCTCTACCCACCCTTCAGCGTGAGAGTGACCATGAATGTCGATGAGCAAACCTGTTGACATGCGAGACTTGGCAGTACGAATAAAACCCATAAATTCTTCCCAGGCTTGCTCTGCTTCGGGAACACCAAAGGCAGCCTCATCCTTGTCTCTGTTAGGATCCAATTTAGACCTTGATAGGTTGTTAATGACCACATGAGGACAGTATCCTGATGTCAGACGGCATATCTCTTTTGCCACAGCTGATGCCATTTCTTGGGTATAGAGATCCTTCACCGTTGTAACCTTACAATTAGTTGTGTCTGTTGTTGTCCCTGTTGGACAGGAATGCACATAGTGACACGTTCCTGTAGCTTTTTCCCAGCAGCCAGCATCTCGAGAAGGTATGGAAGAGGGTGTCAAAGATCCTCCATGGGGAACTGTCAGGATTAGACTTAAGTTTCCAACCTGGTACTCTGTATACTTGTTCTTACCAAAAATAACTTCTTGAGCACCACTTGTGTCCAACAGGAAGATGAGCGGGAAAATCAGCCACAACATTTTTGGGTGAAAACAATAGTTTCTACTCCTATTAAACAAAACCAGATAAAGATGTATGTCAGCTTGACCTGCTATATTATGAAGTACAATTCTTTAACATTTTGGTACAAAAAGAAACAGTAAACTTTAATAACTACCTGAAAAACACTCCTGGGTCCTAATACCCATAGAATCTAGGAGGTATACTGTAGGAACTTCAATTCCTAAACTTACATGCTAAAGTAGCCACATGTTTCCATCTAAACACACACCACCCCCCACTGACTTCTCCATCACGTCCAACAATGCCACCATCAGGCCCGCCCCACAAGCCAGAGTACTTGGGGTCATACTTGACTCCAATCTATCCTTCCAGCCCCAAGTCCAATCACTAACAAACTCATGCAGACTCCACCTCCGCAACATCGCCATAATCCGCACGTTCCTAACCCCAGACACTACTAAACAGCTCATCCACTCCCTCATCATATCACGACTCGACTACTGCAACTCCCTCCTCACTGGCCTGCCTCGCCACAGGCTATCCCTGCTTCAGTCGATCCTGAATACCGCAGCCAGACTCATTCACCTTACCAACTCCGCTCCGTTTCCGCCACCCCCCTCTGCCAATCCCTCCACTGGCTTCCGATTGCCCAACAGATCAAATTCAAAATCCTAACACTGACATACAAAGCTGTCCATCATACTGCCCCAAACTACATCACTGACCTAATATCTAAATACCACCCAACACGCACTCTCCACTCCTCACAAGACCTCCTTCTCTCTAGTTTCCTGGTCCCCTCCTCCCATGTCCGCCTCCAGGACTTCTCCAGGGCGTCACCCATCCTCTGGAACTCCCTACCCCAATCCATCAGACTATCACCTACTCTCCTCTCCTTTAGGCGCACCCTGAAAACCCACCTCTTCAGGGAAGCCTACCCCACCCCCTGCAAATTGCCGACCTCCTCCACTCTTCCTACCACTCCATCCCCCACAGCCATTTCCTCCTGTACCACTATCCCCTCCCTCCTAGATTGTAAGCTCGAAAGAGCAGGGCCCTTGAACCCCTCGTGTACCACATTGTATAGTTATCATACTGTCGCATGTTCTGTCTCCCATTATAATGTACATTATAATCAAAGGCATTAATACTGTATAGGGACATGATAAAAAAAAATTGTAAATGCATTGAAAACCAATTAATCCGTTCCAGAGGTAAAAAAAAAAAAAAAAGTAAAAAAAAAAGTATTTTATCTGTTCAAAACTCTATATAAAAGTGCACATTAAAAGCATAAATACTGTACAGGGACATGATAAAAGAAAATTTGTAAATGCATTGAAAAAAGTAAAAAAAAGTCTTATCGGTTTAAATCTCTTTTTAAGGACATAGTACTGTACAGGGACATGATTAAAAAACAAGTTGTAAATGCATTGAAAACCAATTAATCCGTTCGTATTGCGAGAAAAAATTTGTAAACTGAGCTAGCTATTATTTTCAATGGATTTTCATTCGTAAACTGAGAATTACATTAACTGAGGCGTTTGTAAACCGAGATACGCCTGTGTGTATATATATATATACAGTACGTACAGTTGTGCTCAAAAGTTTGCATCACCTAGAAGAAATCGTGAAATTTTGGTATTGATATTGAAAATATGGCTGATCATGCCAAAAAACTGACTTTTATTTAAGGATAGTGATCATATGAAGCCATTTATTATCACACAGTTGTTTGGCTCCTTTTTAAATCCTAATGAAAACAGAAATCGCTTAAATGGCCCAGATCATAATTTTCCCTCCCCTGGAATGTTTGGCCTTGGTACAGACACACAAGGTGACACACAGGGTAATATGGCTATTGAAGGTTAATTTTCCACATCTGTGGCTTTTTTAATTGCAATTTGTGTCTGTGTATATATAGTCAATGAATTTTTTTATCTCTAACATGGATGCACTGAGCAGGCTAGATACAGAGCCAGGGGGAGCAGAAAAGAACTGTCAAAAGACCTGTGTAACAAGGTAATGGAACGTTATAAAGATGGAAAAGGATATAAAAAGATATCCAAAGCCTTAAATATACCAGTCAGTACAGTCTAATCTAAGTGGAAAATTCAGGGGGTCTCTTGATACCAAGCCAAGAAAGATTGTACACACAACTGCCAGAAGAATTATTCAAGATACGAGGAAAAACCCACACGTACCCTCAGGAGAAGGTGAGGAGAGTAGGTGATAGTCTGATGGGTTGGGGCAGGGAGTTCCAGAGGATGGGTGACACCCTGGAGAAATCCTGGAGGCGGGCATGGGAGGAGGAGACCAGGGAAGTAGAGAGAAGGAGGTCTTGTGATGAGCGGAGAGTGCGTGTTGGGTGGTACTTGGATATTAGGTCGGTGATGTAATTTGGGGCAGTATGTTGGACAGCATATATGTTGAACATTTATTGAAATATATTTTGAAATATATTGAATATGGCCAAAATTGAGCATTTCAAATATATGTCAATATACTTGGGAAGAATATTTTTAAAACATATTTCAAATATACTTTTCTTCCATATGGGTATATACACATAGATACAGTACACACTTGTATATATGCATAACATTGATGCATGTGTATGTAAGAAACTAATACCAATCATTATCCATGTTCAATTTTATTTATTTTTTTCTGTTTTAGCTCTATTTCTTGCTCTGGACATTAATACTGAAAATATTATATATAGGCAACTCCTATCCTCATATGTAGGTATGATTAGGGGTTTCAAATTAATAATAACTATTGCAGTAGGGAACAGACACAAAAAGATACACTCAGCATCTTTCTGAATAACTGTTCTGTTTAATGGGTGCATTTGAAGTTGTTTTTTTTTTTTTTTTGTTACACATTACGTAGGTATCACATTAGTATTACAATTGTACGTTTATGGTAACAAGGGGCGTTACATAGGCAGGTCAATTTCTAATCAGGACTTGAAGGAGAGCAAACATAATGCAAACATATTATTAGTGCCGTGTGCACAATGGGCGCCGTGTGCAATACATAGGGAAAGCACACAAAACTGAATACAATTTTATAAAGATTTTACAAATTTCCTTTACAACCTATTAGACAAATATTGACTGTACATTGTTTTTATGTTTGTATGTTAGCCCTAAAGAAAGGGAAGGCATATCCCCCGAAATGTGTTGGCTCGATTTGTACACTCTATATCCTCAAATAAACTGAACTGAATTGCTATCCTCCCATCAGGTGTGGTATCACATCGGGCGTTTCCCTCCCCCCTATTTAAATATCTGAGATAACATTTAGGGCTCGTTCACACTTGGCTGTTTTACCAATGCTTGCCAAATGCCTCTATAGCGTATTTGCGGAGCGTTTTTTTAACGCGGGGATGGCAGGGATGGACACATAGGATAACATGCTGGGGATGGACACATAGGATAACATGCCGGTGATGGACACATAGGATAACATGCCGGGGATGGACACATAGAATAACATGCCGGGGATGGACACATAGAATAACATGCCGGGGATGGACACATAGAATAACATGCCGGGGATGGACACATAGGATAACATGCCGGGGATGGACACATAGGATAACATGCGGGGATGGACACATAGGATAACATGCCAGGGATGGACACATAGGAGAACACGCCAGGGATGGACACACAGGATAACATGCCGGGGATGTACACACAGGAGAACACGCTGGGGATGGACACACAGGATAACGTGCCGGGGATGGACACATAGGATAACGTGCTGGGGATGGACACATAGGAGAACGTGCCGGGGATGGACACATAGGAGAACGTGCCGGGGATGGACACATAGGAGAACACGCCGGGGATGGACACATAGGAGAACACGCCAGGGATGGACACACAGGATAACATGCGGGGATGGACACATAGGAGAACACGCCGGGGATGGACACACAGGATAACATTCCGGGGATGGACACATAGGAGAACACGCCGGGGATGGACACACAGGATAACATGCCGGGGATGGACACACAGGATAACATGCCGGGGATGGACACATAGGATAACATGCCGGGGATGGACACACAGAATAACATGCCGGGGATGGACACATAGGAGAACGTGCCGGGGATGGACACATAGGAGAACGTGCCGGGGATGGACACATAGGAGAACGTGCCGGGGATGGACACATAGGAGAACGTGCCGGGGATGGACACATAGGAGAACGTGCCGGGGATGGACACATAGGAGAACGTGCCGGGGATGGACACATAGGATAACGTGCCGGGGATGGACACATAGGAGAACATTCCGGGGATGGACACATAGGAGAACATGCTGGGGGGGTTTACTGGCTGTAGAAAAAAACATCAAAAACCAAAAACAGCCGCTGTAAAAACGTACTGTGTGCATGAGCACTTAGCTGTAAACACGCTCTAACGCTGAAAAATGCTGAAAAACGCCACAAAGTTTTTGGCATTTTTTTTTTACTCCCAAAATATATTTTTTGATAAAAAAAACCCCGCTAAAAACGCTGTTAAAAGTGGCAAAAAAACACTAAACACTAATGCAAAAAACGCTAAAAGCTTTACACAGCTAACGTTACCAGCGTTATCCAAACGCCCCATGTGCATGGAGCCTTGCAGCTGCTGTTTTTAGCTTCCGGTGTTTTTTTCTACAGCCAGTGAACCCCCCAGCATGTAATCCTATGTGTCCATACACACCTAGGCTTTAATCAGCGTTTTTTGGCTGGGACGTTTTCTGGCTGGAAAAAAAACCAAGAACGGGTTTCAGGAGGAGTTGTTTAGCTGTAAAAGCTCTAAGCCCTCATGCACACTGGACATTTTTACAGCGGCTGTTTTTGACTTTTGACATTTTTTCTACATCCAGTAAACCCCCCAGCATGTTATCCTGTGTCCATACACACATAGACTGGAATCAATGTTTTTTTGGCTGGAAAAAAACCCCCAGAACTAGTGGGTTTCTAGAGGAGTATTTTAGCTGTAAAAATGCTCTAACGCTGAAAAACACAGTAAAACGCCACAAACCAGCGTTTGTGGACCTTTGTTGACCAAAAAAATATATTTTTTTGGTAAAAAAAACACAAAAAAATGCAAATGCAGGAAAACTCTGCTAAATGTGGCAAAACGCAGCTAAAGCTAATGCAAAAACGCTAAAAAAGCTGAAAAACTCACGGTTTTAGCATAACTTTACACAGCTAACTTTACCAGCGTTATCAAAACGTCCCGCGTGCGTGAGGAAAGACACTGAAAAACAGCAGTTTGTTAGAAGCAACAAAGTCAAATACAACATTGGAGGTCATTTGATTTGCTTCTCTTCCCCTCTTATCCAAGCATTTCATTTTTCACTACATTGAAATCAATGAATAGGTAGCAGAGCACAAATAGGTCAACTCCTAAAAATGTCCAAAATTGCTGAAGAACTCCGACTCTGCACATACAGTTATTATATATCAAGAAGGTAAATAAAAAAATGTATCTTCATTTCCAATTTCTTTTTTATTTTTGTTATCTTTTTTTATTTATATTTTTTTTCCATTATATCTTTTATTAAATTTTCTTTAAAGAAAAAAAAAAATACCTTACAAAACCATCATAAATCTTTTTACATCAAACTTTATCCCCATAGCCATCCCAACACACCCCTGTCCAATCTCATTTCCAATTTCTGAAATAGCCACAGCAGAGTAAAGTGTAAGAGATGCATTCGGCTGACTCACCTGTCCAAGTCTGGGTGATAGTTCTAGGTAAGGTTAGTAACCTCCAAGAATCTATCTTCCCCACCTGTTCAGTTCTCAGCTTGTTTCAGATCAGTTTGTTTGTTTTCTTTAAAAAGTAGAAGGCCGTAGGGTTAATAATTACTCTGCTCTTGAAACATAAATATTTGGGGTTTACGAAAGCTGGCCACAGACCATAGGGGGTGGATGGAGGTGTGGGTATGGTACATGATCTGGATAAATAAAGTACTCAGTCTGGTCAAGCATGCATGCTTATATCAATTAATCAAAGTGGTTGTACATACTAAGGCTAGGTTCACACCTGTGCGGGTGGTGCCGCTGCGGATCTGCGTGAAAATCCATGCAGCCGCACCACCCACACAGAGGAATGCGGACCTGTGTGTCAGGAATGGACTCACTATTAGTGGTGGGACTCATCTGCCATGTGGGCTGCAGTACCAGGGCTGGCCAGCGAGTGCTCTCAGCAACCAGAAGCTCACTCCTGCAATCAGCCATCACCTGAGGCTGATTGCAGGAGGTGTATTTAAGGAATGGCCAGACCTGCAGTCAGTGCCTTGGTGTATGTTTCCCATGAGCCCCCTGTACCATGTATCCTGTGTTCCTGTTCTTCTGACTATCTGATTTGTTGCCGACCCTGCCTGATCCTGACCTCTGCTGACTTCTCCTGCTTGATCCCTGGCTCTTTACCTGACTATTCTCTGCCTGCTCCTCCTGTACCTACCTGCCGGTTAGTTGCTGAACCTGGCTCGTGACCTGACTACTCCCTACCTGCTCCTCCTGTACCTACCTGCCCGATAGTTACCGACCCGGCCTGCCTGACTACGCTTGTGTTCCCGCACATATTGAGACTAGCTTAAGGTTTGGTTTGGTTTTGCACTGTGTGCTCTGTGTATTGTGTACCTTAAATAAATTATATTACTTTTACACCATACTTCAAGCCTGCGTTCCCTGTGTCAGTCCACACATCTCTGGTCATACCTGGAGCCCTGACACTGGGAGCGGTGCCATTACTTCTAATGGCACGCCGCCCGCACTGGAAAACGTAACCGTACTGGGAACCGAGGTTCCCGTGCGGGCTGCGTTTTCAGAAGAAGTGCAGGGGCTTCTTCCCTGCGTGTTCCGGGGCACTGGAGTCCATTCAAATGAATGGGCTCTTGTGCCCACGCAAAACGCGGCCCGCACGGCCACATATATGTGAATCAGGGCTAAAGGGTTTTTTTGTACCTTCGAAGTGATACTGCAGTCTCGTTTTTTTGTTGTTTTTTTTTTAAATAAATAACAAACATGTCTATACTTACCTGCTCTGTGCAGTGGATTTGCACAGAGCAGCCTGGATCCTCCCCTTCTTGGGTCCACCACTGGCACTCCTGGCCCCTCCCTCCTGTTGGGTGCCCCCACAGCAAGCAGCTTGTTATGGAGGATAACCGAGCAGGCGTGTTCCCAAGTGTCCATTCACACACAGAGCCGTGGTTTGGCCCCGCCCCCTCCCTCTCCTGATTGACTCATTGGCTGTGATTGAAAGCAGCACGAGCCAATTGCTGCAGCTGCTGCCTCAGCCTATCAGGAGTGAGAGTCCCCAGAGAACCGAGGCTCTCGTGGACATCGCTGGATCGAGAGGGGGCTCAGGTAAGTGTTGAGAGGGCTGCTACACACAGAAGGGTTTTGACCTGTATGCATAGAAGGTAAACATCTTGAGCCTTTAGAACCATTTTAATGCAGTATATGCTTTACAGCAGGGGTCTCCAAACTTTCTAAAGAAAGAACCAGTTTACTGTCCTTCAAACTTTTTTTTGGGGGGGGGGGCAGACTGGCCAGGGGAGTAGAGAAAATCCCTAGCATCACTGGGAGTAGACAATGTCCTAGACTTGGTGGTCAATGGGAATAAAAAAATGACAAAGTGCCAGTAATAGGTCAGTAATAGGAGGAATAGTGCCCCATTATTGATGTCAATGGGAGAAATTGTGCCCCATCATTGCTATCAGTGGTAGGAATAGTTCTCCTTTGTTGGTGTCAAAAGAAGTTGTGACCTATTGTTGGTGTCAGTGGAAGGAATAGTGCCCCAAGGGCCAGATGAAGGCAAGAAAAGGGTCACATCACATTTTGGAGACTGTTGCATTACCACTTGCTGACCGTAGGCCATCATATGACATCCTCGGTTGGCAGTGGTTATACCAGGATGATGCTTGCAGCTACAGGCATCATACCGGTATTAAAACTTTCAGCCAAGGGTTTCCTTTAAACATCCACTTGATCACTTCTGTGGGTGACAGAATGTGGTCCCCTCCTCCTGTCACCGCCACCCCTCCCGGGCTCTCCCGCCCAAACGTGGAGCGCTCCGACCGGTCATGATGGCTGCACAGAACAGATAGAGAGGAACTGACAACGTTTCCAGTCCCCCCCTCTCTGTTTACCTGGCCCCTAGCAGCCAGGAAAGCAGCCGATCAGACCGATCTGTGTCTGATTGGCTGCATTGGAGGCCAGAGGAGAGATCTGGGGTCTAACAGACCAAAGATCTCTCCATAAGAGGACCTTTTACAATGTTTCTTTTTTTTTTATTATTATTATTATTATACAGGATTTATATAGCGCCAACAGTTTGCTCAGCGCTTTACAATATACCGGGTGACAATACAGCAACAATACAGTTCAATACAAGAGGGATTTGAGGGCCTGATCCTTGCAGTCTAGGAGGGAGGGGCTAGTGGTACAAAAGGTAGTAACTGTGGGGGATGGACTGGTTGGAAAAGTAGAAGATTCTAGTATTAGCTGAGGGCAGGATAGGCTTCCCTGAAGAGATAGGTTTTCAGAGATTGCCTAAAAGTGAGCAGAGTAGGCGATAGTCTGCTAAATTGGGGTAGAGAGTTCCAGGGGATGGGGGAAGCTCTGGAGAAGTCCTGGAGATGAGCATGGGAGGAGGAGACAAAGGAGCTAGAGAGTAGGAGGTCTTGCGAGGAGTGGAGAGTACGGTTTTGGTAATATTTAGAGACAAGATCGGTGATGTAATTTGGGGCGGAGTTATAAATGGCTTTATAAGTTATTGTTAGTGTTTTGAATTTTATCCACTGGGCAATGGGAAGCCAGTGGAGGGATTGGCAGAGGGGGGTAGCAGATACAGAACGGTTAGTAAGGTGGATAAGTCTGGCAGCAGCATTCATGATAGACTGAAGTGGGGATAGCCTGCGATGAGGTCGGCCAATGAGGAGGGAGTTACAATAGTCAAGGCGAAATACAACAAGGGAGTGAATAAGTTGCTTAGTGGTTTCCGAGGTTAGGAACGGGTGTATCTTGGAGATGTTGCGGAGGTGAAGTCTACAAGATTTGGACAGAGGTTGGAT